GTGCAATTCCGTCAGGTCGTGCTCCTTTAGATGCGTCCAAATTTTTTAGTGCATTGAGGACTTTATGTTGACATATTTGATTGTCAGATATGTTGTTAGAGACTTCGGGAATGAATGCAAAGAAGTCGCGGTTTTTTTTCCGAAAATGTGGTGTATACTTCCTGAAAGAAATTTGCAAAGAGATTGCAGATTTCAGAAGGATTTTCACCTACATTTCCATCAAAATGCATTCGTTACGGAAAATTATTGCTTTTCAATTTCGTTTTTCATAATTGAAAAAGTTCTTAGGACATGTTTTGACTTCATTTTCATATTCTTCATGTGCAGTGTTAATGGCTGTGTTGAGTTGGTTGCATATGTTATGATAGTGTTGTAAATTTGTGCAAGTGCTTTTCTTTTTGTATAATTTGTGTGCTTTCTGCTTTTTGTTCTTCAAATGTTCTAGTTGTGGATTGAACCACACTGGCAGTTTGTTGTTTTGTGTTCGCCTTCTTCTTTTTATTGGTACGGTTTTTGAAATTAGGTTACGAATAATTGAATGAAATCTGCCAACTTCAGTGTCGACATTTCCTTCAATACTTATTATATTTTGCCAATTTATGGTACATAGCCTACGTATGGCTTCTTCGAAATTTGCTTTATGATATTCCGGCACTTACCCGTACTCCCAGTCGCTGGGGGAAGAAGTATTTTGTATGAAGATTTTTCTATTAAGGTGATAATGATGCATACACACAGAAGTCTTCATTACAATTTGTAAATAAAAGGTCTAAATATGCATTTTTTTTACTTAAGATATATGTTTAACACCTATTTTATTATTAAATTCTTATATGTGTTGTAGTGTTCAATATGTACTATGTTCTGTCCGTTTGTTTGTTTCACTTATTATCAGGAATATTTCTTCAAGATTGGAATTATGATTATTTTTTGTTACCTTAATACATTTAGGTCATTCCTGACTTTTCGGGGATAAGATTTGAACTTGTGACCTATAGCGTGAGAGTTACTTTCAGGATTCCCCTCAATAATTGTATGATTCTCTCCGATATTTCAGAGCATGTTTTTTCATAGCAGATTCGGAGGTCTGTACAGAACACTTTACGAATTCCCTCCAAAATACTTTGAAAATTTACTCTACATTTATCTTCGTATTCCTTAAAATTCTCGCGAGACTTTTAATTTCTCTTCATTGTTTTTTTTTCTTAAAAATTTCCTTGAAATATTCATTGGAAATCTGTTGGTATGCCCTTTAAAATTTAGAAAGTATTCTTCCAAAATTGTCTTTGGATTTCGCCTCAGAATTGCAAAGGAATTTTCCTCCTCCTTTGATTTTTTTTTTCTCAAAACAGCGTGCAGAGAATCTCTTGGAATTTTCTTGGAATTGTCTTTGGAATTCTCATGAAACTCTCCTTAGAATTAGATTTTTTTATCTCCACTGCTCCGATTTTTTTGGAAATAATGTTCAAAACCCGTAAATTCCCTGAAACTACACAGGTAAATAAGAATTGTTGCGTACGAAGATGAACGGTTGCAAACAATATTTGGAATATCTCATGAAATGTCTCATAACATTATACGAGCAGCAGCTGGCGCCGGTGGTGTAGTGGTAAGCATGACTGCTTTTTCACCCCAATGGGTGTGGGTTCAATCCCAGCCGAGATCGGTGGGATTTTTCTGACGCATAAAAATCTCTGGTCACGTATTCATTCGGAAGGGAAGTAAAGCCGTTGGTCCCGGCCCATGTGTGTTGAATGGGTGCGATATCCTACGCAGGTGTGGAAGCTGCCTTTCTGCACATTCGATTGCCGTCAATGGATGGCAATCGATGTCCGTCGGTGATTGGCACTAGATTGCGGAACAGAGACCGACGTTAAATAAAGGAATGAAGGATTACACGAGCTAAAATCTAAACTTCTATGATATAGGGGAAATCGATGTAATGTCGGCCTAAATGCCCCTAATTTGGGCCCATACATAAATTCAGCAATCGACGACATTTTCAATAGCGACCAAAAATATCCATTAGTACCGTCCCAATGACGCGTTTATCTAGATAAAATTGATAAATAGCCCATCACTAAGGGCCCAATCTTAGATCCATAGGCCAAAATTAGAGCTTTTCCCCTATGACGCTCCATTTATATGTATCATCGTAACAGAAATTTACACAACTTTTTCGAACTGTGTATCTTCAAACTAGCTTGCAATTCTGCAAAGATTTTTATTTTATTATTTTCAGAATTAAGAACTTTAGGAATTATTATCGATATTTAATTGGAGCTCTACCTCAGAATTCTATGATTGATTGATTTTAGAGATTTTCAGCCATTAGTGATCATTAAGGGTAGTGTCAGAATTTCTTTAGAGTTGCTTTAGAATTCCCTGGAATTCTTCTCATAATCCCCATAGTAGTATCTTCAGAACTACCAAGGAATTCACCTTTAATGCTGAAATGCTCTTCTCAAAATTATCTGATACTTCAAGTTAAATTCCCTTAGAATTATTTTTCAGAATTCCCAAAGAGAGACAATTGTAGAGGACTTCAATTCTCCTTAAAACTCATTTAGCATTCTCATCAGAACTGTCCAGACAATTCTCCAATATGTCAAAATTTTGACTCAAAATCCTAAAGTTTTATTTTCGTTTAAGATTTACGTTTTTATGCAGGGTGGTCAACCATTCGGCAAAGTCAGGAATCGAAAATCATCAGGAAAAAAAGCGGGATAAGTCGGGATTCCTATACAAACTCGGGAAATCATAGAGGAAACGCTAACCATAGGTAGGGCTGTGAACTACTTCGGCCTAAGCGCCCATTTTGGGAATATCAAGCAGAAAACATCAAATAAATCCATGATTTCGGTGTCAACATGTAAATTATGCGTTTGGTACGATACACAGCAAAAAAATAATTTTGATATCACATCAAAGTGGATGCACTACATTCATGTCGAAAATTTCATGTAATTTTTATGACCACATAAATAAACAAATGCAGTAAAAGCAGCGTAATGTCAGTTCATGCATTGTATTAATGACAATTTTGTCCTTTTTAGCAAGTAATATTACGCCATATTTTCGACATGATTGTAGTGCATCCACTTTGACGTGATATCAAAATTATTTTTTTGCTGTGTACTTTAGTTCAAATGCTACCGAACGAAGTCAATATGAACGCGTGATATGAATGTTTGCCCCCAATATTCTCAATTTTTTTCTTCCTTTATCCAATATTCTCAAATACAAATGAAGCGCTCCTACCGAATCAATCTTTATCTTCATCCAATAGGCCGAAGTGAATTCATTGGCGTTTCAATGCGTTAGGCCGAGTTTAGAATCCGTATGTCGAGTTTGGCGTCAAGAAGTAGTGTTAGACTTTTAACAATATCTCAACAATTTGTTCCTCTATATCAAATCTTACGGTACGTACGGAAAGGTAAATAAATTTGAGTAATAATAACATTCCTTTGGTGCTAAACTACGCTCGATTTAGAAAGAGTAAGTGCGGGTTGGGCTTAATAGCCCGGAAATGGGATAGTTAACCCTACAGACCCAATGATTCAAAAGTCTCGTGCAGGTTTTCTACATTTTATATTACTTTTGTAAGTTTCATAAATCAATTTATTAATTATGTATTTTTTTACTATGCTTGTGAACTTCAGTTTGAGCTATTCTAAGAAGGATAAAGCATTTTGTTTTTAGCTAGAGGAGACTTTTTTTTGTAAATTGTAAATAGTACAGGCTCAATCGAACAAACTTTACAGGGCCAATTCATCACTTTCATTGTACTAGAGCTAGAGGAGACTTGGACTTGGACAATTTTAAAAAGATGCAGAGAAGTGACTCAAGTGATTTTTAATATGGGTGACGTGCCAAGTGAATCCTGGATCTTAAATTTCTGTGTACGAAATCTTGAAAAGTTATCAGATAAAGAATTCACGGGCAAGAACCTTTATATCTATGTTGGTTTGAGAAATTCCGCATTGCGCGAAGAATGATGGTACAAGGATTTACTTTATTTTTTTATTACAAATTGTTTTTTTAAATACATGGTTTTTAAAACCAGGAAATTTTTAAATCATTGACCAGAAAAACCAGGAAAAACCAAGAATTTCGAAATGGAAATTCACTTGCCACCCTGGAGGGGTCTCGAACCATCATAGGAACCTTTCCTGGCCCCAAAAACCCCAGCATACAAATTTTCTGGGTCAGACAGAAAGAAATTAATATTAATTTAATAAATATAGAGATTTCAGCGTTTTGAAGCCATTTTTTGTGATTTTAGGCCATTTTAAGCGTTTTAAGGTTATATTCGAGGAGAAGTTTTTTGTTTGCCTACTATTTCATCGTTTTCAGGTGATTTTTAGTGTCTATACTTATTTGTTGTTTTAATACGACTCATGCCTTTCGCTGACTCTTTTAGTGTTTTCATAATATTTCTGCGCATTTCAGATCGTTTTATGAAAATGAGTTTACTTTTTAGCGCAATTTTGAAATTTTTAAACTTGTTTGGAATTTTAGCGTTTCCGTTTCATTCTGTTTTTGGGATTTAGGCTATGTTGGCATGTCATAGCCATTTTGAACTTATTAAGGTCAGTTTGGTCTTCATCTGCACATAATATTGGTGGGTCGCGAGCTTATAGAATTTTTCAAAATGGGTCGCAATCGACAAAAGTTTGATAAACGCTGCACTATACTATTGTGTCTGAGGAATCGAATAGAGAGGATATAATTTTGAGTAGACCTCAGCAATTGTTCATTTTGCCCGATTTTCCCCACCTAACAGAATTACATGGCGATGTTGGTTTGCGTGGGTGAGCTATTAGTTTCGATAAATTGACGTTTGAAGTCATTGTTTACAAAAGTACTTACATCGTTTTGAATATTTCCTCTCAAGTATTTTCTGGTTAGTTTGCATGTTTTAGCAATAGTTTATCCAAATAATTTTAGTTTGTACATTCAAAACACAACTAATAATTAATGTTTTTCTATTTTTGCAGGTACAAACCACAAAGTGTTTATCGTAAGTACCGGTTCAGACACGTTTACTAAATCTTATAGTATCACTTCGTCACGCGGGTAAACTGGATTGTAGCCGTAGACGTTTGAATTATGACAAGCAACAGAAACCATATGATGTGTTACTTATCAAAACTGGACAAATTTACAATTCAGGCACGTTTCCTCTGCGTTCTTCAGTGTTCGTTTATCTACCACCGACGTGTACCATGCAAACAAATAACAAACGGAACGATGAAGGTACCGGTCGGTGCACTTAAGGGCTGTTTATAAACTACGTAGACAGTTTTTGAGAGGTTGTAGACTCCCGTGTAGACAATCGTCTATACTCCACATATGGAAATATTTGCACCGCAGACAATCGCCTCCCCTTCTAAAGTGTCCTGCATCAAGAGTGAATTTTCTAATAGTCGTATACATATCTGCTTTTGTACACAAAGATTCAAATGTCAATTTGTCGAAACCCTTAGCGCGCCCACGCAAACTAACTCCTTCATAATGTTGGGGAAGCTATGAGTGAGTTTCCACAAATTTACGTTTGAATCTTTGTTTACAACAGCAGATACGGCTAATTGAAAATTCACTCTTGAATGGAAGCTTCGTTGAAGAGGAATCTTATGCAAGGAAGTTACTTATTACCCTATACTGTCTCTATGCTCTCGCTCTGTAAGGACGGACGATTTGATGAGGGTGTGTGAATTGTCGGGGCTGGCGTGAGCTAAAGTAATGTTAACTGTGCCGGGTGGCATCGTCGGCGGCTCAGTTTGTTCGTTAGAATATATGTATGTATACACATGACCGACCGTGACTGGCGCGTGAAAGTGGCGCATCCGTGCTGGCTGGTGGTATTTAACGCACATTCGCGGAGGACATTGATGGGATACATTTTCGTTAGCGATTCAAATTAGAATGATTTAGAGTAGGTTTAGAGTAGGGTCCTTGTTTATTTTCTGGTCTTCAAGTACTAACACATCAGAGCTTTCTTATCCTACTATTACATAGGTTTTGTGTACAGCACAATTACATCCTGTAATACGATCAATATCCACTTCTAAATTCCTATTAAATCCAACCACCAGATCACTTCCATGTCCCACCAACTGTCCCTCCCCAAACAACACGCATCTAATTGCAGCTCATTTACAATCTGAATTATACATTCCATGTGACAAGCCCAATTAATTTCACTCCTACTTCCTCGAAGTGTCAACGAGCCGCTTCGCGTTGTGTGCAACCCTCACAAATTAATTGATGTTCCTTCGATGTTGATGACCTCGTGAATAAATCGAATGGCGTGTTGAAAGGTGTCATGTGCTGGCGGGAAGACAACAACCGCAGCATCACCATCATCGTTCCGTTCCGTCATCATTCATTCGAATGGTTTGTATTCATAAAACTTTACTTTGATGACCAATGGTCGACGATCGCGTCCTTTGCCTGTGTCATTGGAAGATGACTCCGTTCTGCAGATGAAAGTTTTTCCTGGTTCAATAGCATATCTGTATTAAAGAGTTCCATTCTTCAGTTTGACTGAATCAGATGTGAAGGACAACATTTTGCTTTGATGTCATAGACTCAACATGGCGTCCAATGTTTTTGTTTTGATTATTTTAATCATCATAAAACGCCAGTAAAATAATTTATCAAGCTTTCAATTAATCAGCTTATTGTTGCTCAATAGTCATTGCCTTGAAAACCATATTGAAAATCGATCGAAACTTTGATTTTTCAATCGAAATTCCAAAACTAGTTCATTGATCTGAATCAGCCTTTTGTGCCACTTTGCGGGTAAACCAACCAGAAAGTAGGTACCAAAAGGCAAAGTACCAAAAACAATGATAGGTAGATGGGTTATATATAGGATTTGACAACCACAACATGCCCTTGAACTGAACCACTCGGTCCTCGGCTTCGTTCGGTTCAGCGGTGATTCGAAGAATGTTAATTTAATTTTTAGTGCCTAGTGACGGAGAAAACCATGGGCCAAATGTGAAAGACAAGCATTTGTACAAACAGAAACGCAAATACGTCACACTTAGTGTCTCTAACTCGTTAATCACGGAAATTTTCCCAAACCTGTTATGCCTCTCCGCTGAACTGAAACAATTGCGGTGGTACAGCGGGAAGAAATACAGACGACGACGAATCCCATACCGTGTCAAGTTAATGTTTACCGCTATTAATTCGAAATACTCCACGACACGTCAGGGTCACGGATGCCGGATGATTGACGCGGCACGGTTCGTCCCTGCGTTTTCGTCAAGGCTTCTTTCTCCATCCGTGTGTGTCGATCGTGGAGACCGAGTTCGTCGACCCTAGCACAGCCGCAGAGCTCCTCAAGATTTTAGCACCGGTCTTAAAAATAGTCAATGTGCGTATATTGCTGAATCCTCTTCCCCTCTGTTGAATGCGAGATCATTAATGAAGTCTGGTTGATCTACATCTACACGCACCTATCGATACCTGTTTACGCGCGTGTCGGGTCGTTTTAAAACCATTTCACTGGGAAACATTGCATAACTGCCGTGTAATGGCTTTCTGTTGCACTTAACACATAACACACTGATCGCGTCGCGTCGCGCTTAGGCAGCGGCAGTAGTCATTTGGACGAATTACACCTGCGTGCAACTCGTCAAACCTGACATGGCTCAGGCGAGTAAATCGAACGTCGGTCAACGAGAATATGGTCGTCAGTTGGCCTTTCGTTGGCGTGGTCGATCGGCTCACGAGGTGTGTTGATTGAAGTTCTTGGCAGCATCAGCAAGTAGTTCACAGTTGGATGTGGACGGATTCGGTCTGAAGTAGCGTCATGACACGGGTGTGATTGATCGCGTTGCACGGTGGGAAAAAGAAAGCTTAAAGAGGATTAAAAACAAATCATTATTTCACGCGTAATATGAAGATCGTTGAGTACAATAATGAGGATATTTTTTTAAGCACCGTAAAGTGCCAAAATTTAGTGCATTTTTGAAAAAATTGAAACCAAATTTTGAATGAAAATATTTTAAATTAGGATGGAAATTTAAATAGGTATCAGTGTATGGGACAAATATAAATTTAAAAATATTACACTTCAAATAGTTTAAAAGAATGCGCGGAGTTAGGCGAGGCGCGAAATTATGGCACTTCACGGTAGTACGGTGACTACGGTGACCACTTACAACACTGGGCTAAACACAGGCCGAGAAAAAAATATAGTTCACTGAATCTTGAGTTCTTTAAAAATTTGTATTGTATTTTTTTCCGGCATCAAAAATATTCCAAGCCTAGATTTCAGTAAAAAAAAATACATGTCCAGAGTGTTTTCTATGTTTCAGATGCATTTTTGTTCTGGGACTGTGGACTTAATTTGTTTGTTTTAGATATGTCCAAAAGAGAAGTCCAAAATCTAAAATTAATCCCAGAAGTATGAAAATTATTCGGGATCTTTCATACTTGGAAAATTATCCTCGTTTCAGAATAATGGGATTTTTTCTAAGACTGCGATCTAGCAAAGGTGTCTAGGTCCCATAGTTATGAAAACAAAATTAATGTTTGAGGTGTAACAGAAGTTTAAATATCTTTAAAATTGACTGTCGTAAAATTGTAAAAGTCTGATATTTAAACAAGTCTGTGTGCCAATTCGTGATCTGAAACTAAAATCAGCTTAGTAAATCGCTTGATTAAAAAAAATGAGTTAAAAAAATGAATGCAAAGTGTCGCAATGGAGGTTAGAATTGAACCGTACTTCTATTTATTCAATGAATACTGATTTTTCGAGAACACATTTACGGGATCTTTAAATCATTTATTTTATTTTAAAGAAGCATTCAAGTTTTAAGATTTCTCAGTGGGTTGAACTCAACGGAAGATTGGAACCAAGTCTTTCCGATCATTAAATGTAACTTTGGACGTAGGACTTTGTGGGCTATACGGGGGTGCAAATAAAAAAAAAAGTGTAACGAAATAGTGTTAGGTTTTAAACGCTTATAACTCGCCATTTATTGATGGATTTAAATTATGTTCACACACTTTGATTCAGAATTGATGTAAGATTTGTTTGGTATAAAGATTATAGTAATTTATTATTAGTAAATTATTGAAAATTGATTAAACTTTTTGGCCGCAATCAATCAATCACGTGCTCACTTGCTATGACTACGGAGAGAACAGAAAGAGACGAGGTTGCGAGGTTATAAAAGAGCTTACCTGTACGTTTTTCTTCAGATTGTCTGGGGATGTGATGGTTGTCACATCGTTAGACACCGTACACGGCCAATGAGACTAACTCATCTAGGGTTATCTAGTGAATGAGTAAATTTTTCCTCGATTTTCTTCTTAAATACCGTAGAACCCCGTTCAATAGGTAAAATTGCATTTGAAAGGCGCCCACTCTGAATTTGTTTAACGGGTATCCCTACAGTTTCCAATAGCGCTACGCAATGTAATGCAATTGTGAGTTGAATTTGACTCAGGTATTGAGTTACTTTTATCGGCCGTGTAGACTGGGTAATTATTTTTTTTTTTCGATTTTCGTCATATTCGAGCAGATTTTTGAGGAAAATTTGACTCACTCAGTGAGAACCCCACTTTCACGATTTTAAGTAAAAATGTTTAATGATGTACTGTAATTGAGTTTTTCAAGTGAAAGAGACTTATTGGATGGTGTACATCACACTAGTATATTTTTTGACTTATTATTGCTAGTATTCCATTTCACTTCTTATTGCTTTAACTTGCGACTTCGACTAGATAGAAGGTAGCGGTCTTGGAAAAACTACAATGGACATCCCTATGAGGTTGAACGCAATGGTGACGTAGAACTACGTGGTCTTATATAATAAATCTTATTTGTTAACTGCAGCAGGAGCTTGTATTTTGTGCGGGAATAGGAATTTGAGCGGGGTTCTCTCTGTTTATACTCTTTAGTATGACACGCTTGACATAGATGACCCACAGAAACTCACGACGAGCTACTGATTCCGATCAATAGCGGTGTAGATTCTTCCTTCTTCTATGGATGCT